TTACCACAGAAGCATCAATCAATCAGATTCCAAACTCTCCATCATGGCCAAGACCAAAGAGCTCTCCAAGGATGTCAGGGACAAGATTGTAGACCTACACAAGGCTGGAATGGGCTACAAGTCCATTGCCAAACAGCTTGGTGATAATGTGACAACAGTTGGTGCGATTCTTCGCAAATGGAAGAAATACAAAAGAACTGTCAATCTCCCTCGGCCTGGGGCTCCATGCAAGATCTCACCTCGTGGATTTGCAATGATCATGAGAACGGTGAGGAATGAGCCCAGAACTACACGGGAGGATCTTGTCAATTATCTCAAGGCAGCTGGGACCATAGTCACCAAGAAAACAATTGGTAACACACTACGCCGTCAAGGACTGAAATCCTGCAGCGCCCGCAAGGTCCCCCTGCTCAAGAAAGCACATATACATGCCCGTCTGAAGTTTGCCAATGGACATCTGAATGATTCAGTGGACAACTGGGTGAAAGTGTTGTGGTCAGATGAGACCAAAATGGAGCTCTTTGGCATCAACTCAACTCGCCGTGTTTTGAGGAGGAGGAATGCTGCCTATGACCCCAAGAACACCATCCCCACCGTCAAACATGGAGGTGGAAACAGTATGCTTTGGGGGTGTTTTTCTGCTAAGGGGACAGGACAACTTCACTGCATTAAAGGGACGATGGACGGGGCCATGTACCGTCAAATCTTGGGTGAGAACCTCCTTCCCTCAGCCAGGGCATTGAAAATGGGTCGTGGATGGGTATTCCAGCATGACAATGACCCAAAACACACGGCCAAGGCAACAAAGGAGTGGCTCAAGAAGAAGCACATTAAGGTCCTGGAGTGGCCTAGCCAGTCTCCAGACCTTAATCTCATAGAAAATCTGTGGAGGGAGCTGAAGGTTCGAGTTGCCAAACGTCAGCCTCGAAACCTTAATGACTTGGAGAAGATCTGCAAAGAGGAGTGGGACAATCCCTCCTGAGATGTGTGCAAACCTGGTGGCCAACTACAAGAAACGTCTGACCTCTGTGATTGCCAACAAGGGTTTTGCCACCAAGTACTAAGTCATGTTTTGCAGAGGGGTCAAATACTTATTTCCCTCATTAAAATGCATATCAATATATAAAATTTTGCGTTTTTCTGGATTATTTTGTTGTTATTCTGTCTCTCACTGTTCAAATAAACCTACCATTAAAATTATAGACTGATCATTTCTTTGTCCGTGGGCAAACGTACAAAATCAGCAGGGGATCAAATACTTTTTTCCCTCACTGTATATGAACACCCAACCTATGGTCCATTGAAAACAATTCAAGGGGCATATGGATGTTATTCCTACATTGTGGAAGAGTGCTTCTCGCAGGAATTCTGTTGCGGTGTAAGGTAAGCACAATGGATTCATAATCCAGAGGTCAAATGTCCGATCTCATTAAGAGGGATTTGAAAGAATGAGTAAGTTTCCCAACTCACCCCCTCCTCCAGCCTCTTCTCCACTCAGCAGTTTAAATGGCTATGCCTGCAATACGTTAATCGGCAGGTCGCATGTGCGGTGGGGAAAATGTGGGTACTCCCATCTCTTCCAAGATGCATCATCAGCATATTTGTCGACAAAATACCCTGCGTCCAATGGAGGCCCCTTTCAGCAGCAGAAGATATCATGGCTGCACCTTTACCAGTCGGAAAATGAGCGGCGGCTCTGCTGTACACATTGTGATCTCTGCCACAGGAAGGCAGGATTTCCACCCAATTTCAGCGCCACTAATAGAGATCCACATTGCACAATTTAGTGTGGGGACACACTAACATTTCCTGCCGTTGCATTGCACTTTTTCAAACAATGCTATACAGTAGATGCTAAAGCACTGTGAGAGAGAGAGAGAAAAAACATGAATTTCCTTTGACAGGGTTGGTCATATCAGGCGAATGCGCAGTGGAATCAAGTACTATGGAACCATTAGAAACTCTGATTTATGGTGTATCTCTATTAGATACCACTCACTGTAGTAAAAGAGGCAATGGATTCACCTACCACACCATGACAGCAAAACAGCAACAAAAAAGAGATTGTACATTCCGACCAAGTGACAAATGAGAAACTAAGTGATTTTTCAACTTTACCATCAATAAATATCCCACACAGCACTGAGGGATTAGTTGGCATGCCAGGATTACCCTCTGCTTCTGTCTGCCCAGATTGGGCCTGTCAACCTATTCCGCAGGCACCCTTGTAAGTCCGGCCAAAAGCCTACTTCACTAAACAGCCGGACTTTTTGGAGCTGACTCAGCACTCACGAAAGACACTATAGCATTACATTCATCGTGGATTTTGCCCCAGAGAAGTGTCACAGACTTCAATCTAAGTACCACTGTCTGGGCGTGAATATCCAGCAAATTTGTGTAGATTGAAAACAATATTAGTCTCTCTCTGCTTGCACGTGCATGAAGCTATCCTTATATGATTTAGTGGTTTGGACCGAGTGGTGGAAACTCCGCATTTATTTGGCAAGGCACACAGAGTGCATTATCAGAAGCCCAAAGTGAAAGTCTGGAAAGCTGAGTAGATTTTCAGACACGCCCCTCTTCACCAAACCGTGTGGTGAAGTATGGTAAACATAACATACAGTGTGGTGAATAAATTATAAAACCATAATTGTAAGATATTTTTAGCAATTAATCGGAGACCAGACTGAGCCTGCAAACGTTTTTTCCGCCTGGCAACGTGGTTTAACCCGGGGCATCATTGTGGCGAGATGTAAACTACCTTGCATGGGTTCGATTTCGACCCTAACGCCTGCCATATATTTGGAGTTTGTATGTTCTCTCCACGGTCGCGTGGATTTTTCTCTGGTTCCTCCCAGTTTACCTCCACATTTATAAATATGGCTTTAGAGTATTTGGCTGCTATACATTTCGACGTAATATAAGCTATCATTTGTGGCCAAGTCGCGCCTTAAAAAGAGCCGTATAGCTCAGTGGGCCTTACCTGGTAAAATAAAATAAAAATACCTCAACCGGTTCCCCACATTAGAGTTGTTGTGGTACTACCGAGCATGGGCATGATCTGCTTAAGACACTCAGATACCTCCATAGTTTAACGAGTTTAATCAATTAATCAGTAATTAATCAATTGAAAAATATGCATCATGTGATGACGCTTTTAGTAGGAAGAGTGTGGACATGATATAATTGAATTGATGTACTGAGGCCCAATAGTCATTGTTTACATTAATCTGCAAATCGGGAACATATTCCTAGTACAAAGGAGCAGGTGGCTTTGCTTTAAGGCCATGTTCGTGAAATATCATCACAACATAACGAGATAAAAGGAATTATTAATTATTTGTCTACACCGACATCCACGGTGACACCGCGGTTCTAGTTGCCTCCATTCAGAAGGTCGCGCAAGTAGTTTAGGGCAGTGTGCAGGTGTCGTGCAAGATGAATGCAATGGGGGCCCAGCAGTAAGACAGCGTAATAGTTGCACACGCGTGAAGGTGCAATTGTCCCACACGGGTGGTCTCTGAACTCGTCCTCGAATTTCCCCCTGCGTGATCCTCCAAATTACACAGTGTGCATCGAGCTCCAAAAAAAAAAACCTTAGTACACATCCTGCCAGAAAACCACCACGTAATATCTACCACTCAGTCGCCCCCCACACCTCCGATTAGCACAGTTGGCTGCGTATGGCACAACAGAAGTTCTACATGAATTCACTGGAACTGGCATCACTCCCATTATGTCATGTGCACACTATTCATACTAAAATCGTAATCACGTGATGGTGATTTTTTTCTCAATTGATTAATTACTGATTAATTGGTTAAATTAATTGAACTATGTAGGTATCTGAGTGTCTCAATGAGATAATGCCCATGGCAAGTAGTGCCACAACAACTTTAATGTATGGAACCAGTTGAGGTATTTTTGTTATATTTTACTGGGCAATGCCGACTGAGTGATACAGCTCTTTTTTCAGAAGCGACCTGGGCACAAATGATTGGTCAACGAAATTGCTTATCACGTGGACATTTATAAGCAGCCAACTGCTCTAAACACGTTGATTCTAAATGTGGGCAAAGTGACACGACCAACACTCTAACATAATACACAAGAAGGACAACAACAGTAGCACACACAAAATACTCCATCTGAGCCTTCTAAAAAGCTGAGTGCCACTAGCACTCTCTTGCTGTCATAAAACGTTGCTTGCATGTTGGTTGGATAAAGCTAATGACACGCCCGACATACATTGTCGTCTTTAAATATACTACAGCGTTATTGACAAATTCTCCCGACACATTTACGTGTAATATTTAACTGCATGCCACGATTGGAAATTGATTTAGGATTCTAACATCAGGCAGCTTCTTACATAATGCGGCGAGTGTTTTTTTTTTACATATGACCATTTTAGTAGGTGATATACACAAGCATATTGGAATTAACATCCAGATAAACATGCAAATTGTCATCATGTGGTTAATAACAATTTCCCCCTCTTGAGATTTGATGAATTATCACGACTTGGGGTCTCATTTGATTAAAGAATGGACAGAGTTCTATGTTGTTGTTACATGGTGGTGCAATGTAGAGCCTCTGGCAGGTGCAAGGATCTCGTGAGCTGAGTGATAATGAGCGCGGCTAGAGGCAATGGCCATCTCAATACATTGAAAACAAGAAAAAGGCGAAGCCCTGCAATTGCTTGCTCGCACCATTGTTGGCAGAAGGGCATCAACTAAACAGAGCTCCAGAGAGCCTCAAATATGTCGTGATGAATGTGGTGAGTTTTCGAATTACGCACTTTAATTACGACCGGCACCATTGAATTGGAATGACTCAACATTTCCTAACGTTCGGGAATTTTAAGTCGATGCACTAGTGCTCTCCCATCAGCTATGATGTAGTTTGGTTAACCACTGCTCATTCACTGTTTCTGATGCATCAGGATTCCGAGTCATGGTATGCAATTTTGATTTGCTTTTCCGTGCCTTATCTTCAAGGTCCACCTGTGGACGTTCGAGTGAACATTTTCATTAACAGCTTCGGGTCCATCCAGGAAACCACAATGGTGAGTTTCCCACTTCATTTCAATTTGAATTTGAATCCACTTGATTGTGCATTATGCTTAACATTTCGACATGCACGCTAACAACACTCATCGCATATATGTTCAAAATCTCTACCGTTGTTTTATGAATTACGACCTCCGTATTGGTGCTAATATTTTACAAGTGTGTTCGTAATGATCAGCTTTGTCGCATACGTTCCCTTGATGTATTATTAATCGACGCGTTATATTTAACAATTGTGAGTTAATCCCGGGGCATGGTGTTGAGAGGGAGCTGGAAGGCTCTAGAAGGGGGCGGGGCCAAGGAAGGAGTGGCCCCAACCCGTGGGGGATATACAGTGAGGGAAAAAGTATTTGATCCCCTGCTGATTTTGTACGTTTGCCCACTGACAAAGAAATGACCAGTCTATAATTTTAATGGTAGGTTAATTTGAACAGTGAGAGACAGAATAACAACAACAAAATCCAGAAAAACGCATGGCAAAAATGTTATAACTTGATTTGCATTTTAATGAGGGAATTAAGTATTTGGCCCCCTCTCAATCAGAAAGATTTCTGGCTCCCAGGTGTCTTTATTACAGGTAACGAGCTGAGATTAGGAGCACACTCTTAAAGGGAGTACTCCTAATCTCAGCTTGTTACCTATATAAAAGACACCTGTCCACAGAAGCAATCAATCAAACAGATTCCAAACTCTCCACCATGGCCTAGAACAAAGAGCTCTCCAAGGATGTCAGGGACAAGATTGTAGACCTACACAAGGCTGGAATGGGCTACAAGACCATTGCCAAGCAGCTTCGTGAGAAGGTGACAACAGTTGGTGCGATTATTTGCAAATGGAAGAAACACAAAATAACTGTCAATCTCTCTCGGCCTGGGGCTCCATGCAAGATCTCACCTCGTGGAGTTGCAATGATCATGAGAACGGTGAGGAATCATCCCAGAACTACACGGGAGGATTTTGTCAATGATTTCAAGGCAGCTGGGACCATAGTCACCAAGAAAACAATTGGTAACACACTACGCCGTGAAGGACTGAAATCCTGCAGCACCCGCAAGGTTCCCCTGCTCAAGAAAGCACGTATACATGCCCGTCTAAAGTTTGCCAATGAACATCTGAATGATTCAAAGGACAACTGGGTAAAAGTGTTGTGGTCAGATGAGACCAAAATGGAGCTCTTTGGCATCAACTCAACTCGCCGTGTTTGGAGGAGGAGGAGGAATGCTGCCTATGACCCCAAGAACACCATCCCCACCGTCAGACATGGAGGTGAAAACATTATGCTTTTGGGGTGTTTTTCTGCTAAAGGGACAGGACAGCTTTACCGCATCAAAGGGACAATGGATGGGGCCATATGCCGTCAAATCTTAGGTGAGAACCTCCTTCCCTCAGCCAGGGCATTGAAAATGGGTCGTGGATGGGTGTTCCAGCATGACAATGACCCAAAACACACGGCCAAAGCAACAAAGGACTGGCTCAAGAAGAAGCACATTAAGGTCCTGGAGTGGCCTAGCCAGTCTCCAGACCTTAATCCCATAGAAAATATGTGGAGGGAGCTGAAGGTTCGAGTTGCCAAACGTCAGCCTCAAAACCTTAATGACTTGGAGAAGATTTGCAAAGAGGAGTGGGAAAAATCCCTCCTGAGATGCGTGCAAACCTGGTGGCCAACAGCAAGAAACGTCTGACCTCTGTGATTACCAACAAGGGTTTTGCCACCAAGTACTAAGTCATGTTTTGAAGAGGGGTCAAATACTTCTTTCCATTACGAGACCTCCTTTTGCCAGAAACAAGATTTAGGAATAGGTTTTACCCTTTTAACTGGCACAAAAACTGACACCTTTATTCAAGGCATCATGTTTGCAATGACCACAACACAAGCAGTCAAAATGCAAACAAAAAAGACAACTCTGATAATAATATGCACTGTCCTTGAATTTGATTGGTCCACACCCGAGACAGCTTTTCTTAGAGCCTAGTCTCCATTGGTGTTGGACCAGAAGACGCCAAAAGGCGTACAACTCAAAAACAGCGCACTATCAGAGTATTGAGGGCTCGGGGTGAGCATTAACATTATGAGACCTCCTTTGCCAGAAACAAGATTTAGGAATAGGTTTTACCCTTTTAACTGGCACAAAAACTGACACCTTTATTCAAGGCATCATGTTTGCAATGACCACAACACAAGCAGTCAAAATGCAAACAAAAAAGACAACTCTGATAATAATATGCACTGTCCTTGAATTTGATTGGTCCACACCCGAGACAGCTTTTCTTAGAGCCTAGTCTCCATTGGTGTTGGACCAGAAGACGCCAAAAGGCGTACAACTCAAAAACAGCGCACTATCAGAGTATTGAGGGCGCGGGGTGAGCATTAACATTATGAGACCTCCTTTGCCAGAAACAAGATTTAGGAATAGGTTTTACCCTTTTAACTGGCACAAAAACTGACACCTTTATTCAAGGCATCATGTTTGCAATGACCACAACACAAGCAGTCAAAATGCAAACAAAAAAGACAACTCTGATAATAATATGCATTGTCCTTGAATTTGATTGGTCCACACCCGAGACAGCTTTTCTTAGAGCCTAGTCTCCATTGGTGTTGGACCAGAAGACGCCAAAAGGCGTACAACTCAAAAACAGCGCACTATCAGAGTATTGAGGGCTCGGGGTGAGCATTAACATTATGAGACCTCCTTTGCCAGAAACAAGATTTAGGAATATACTATTTAGGAATATACTGGTTGTTTCAAGGCAAGCAAAACTGTTTCTGGAAAAGGAGGTCTCATAATGTTAATGCTCACCCCGAGCCCTCAATACTCTGATAGTGCGCTGTTTTTGAGTTGTACGCCTTTTGGCGTCTTCTGGTCCAACACCAATGGAGACTAGGCTCTAAGAAAAGCTGTCTCGGGTGTGGACCAATCAAATTCAAGGACAGTGCATATTATTATCAGAGTTGTCTTTTTTGGTTTGCATTTTGACTGCTTGTGTTGTGGTCATTGCAAACATGATGCCTTGAATAAAGGTGTCAGTTTTTGTGCCAGTTAAAAGGGTAAAACCTATTCCTATATACTTCTTTCCCTCATTAAAATGCAAATCAATTTATAACATTTTTGACATGCGTTTTTCTGGATGTTTTTGTTGTTATTCTGTCTCTCACTGTTCAAATAAACCTACCATTAAAATTATAGACTGATAATTTCTTTGTCAGTGGGCAAACGTACAAAATCAGCAGGGGATCAAACAAAATGTTCCCTCACTGTAAGGCGTGTCCCTAAGAGGGACCAGGGTCGCTGCATTCTACAAGCTGGAGGCTCTACGTCCTACGAGGCAACCACGTGGTCACGGACCCGAGTGAGAGGGTCCGACCCTCCGTAGCTGTTACTCCTCTGCATTGGCTGTATCTGGTAAAGGGGCAGTTAGCCCTCTGTGTTATGTGTTACAAAACAGGTCCCTGCAGGGTGGGCTGGTAGGACAAGTCTCTGCGCTGTCTATTGCTGATTTTACACCCAACAGCACGAGATTTCACTTAGTTAAAGTATTGAAAGGGGACGGACGGACGGACACATTAATCTATTGCAGGCTGGTACACTCAGTTTACAACTTCGTTCCTACCAGTATAAATGTGTTTCCTCTAAAAGGAACAATGTCTGCGACTCAGTTGGACCCACTACACCTGCAATGCTCCTCTTGGCTGGACTGGAGCCGGGTTGATGGCAATGCCGTTGGGTCACCCTCCGATCGTTCCTGCAGCAGCAGCAGCACCGCCTGGATGTAATAAGAAGCCCTAGCTGTCAATACAGATCTCTTTCAGCTAGAAGTATGCCTGGTTTTCTCTTAACAGTGCCGAAACTTTATTTTCTGTAACGGTACAGCCTCAAATTGTATTTCTGTGTCCAGTGCATTGTTTTAATGGCCCAATTTTTTTTGGTGGAGATGAAACACATACCCTTGCCATCACACATGCACTTGGATAACAGAATGTGTTTGGCTGAAAATGGCAAAATCAGGTGGTATATTGTGACCTATTGTGACCTTCGGTGCCCCATCACCATTGCCATCTAATGTAAGCTGATCAAATAATATATAACCTTGTTGTAACAGCTCTCTCGCTGGTTCAGTAGTTCCACTGCTGGATTTTTTTCCGCCTGAGGACGACCGCTTGTGTTGTGATCAAAACGGTCGTGATTTATTATTTTTACCTACGTGACTTTACCGAAAGAACCAAAGAGTATGGATTCCTGCAGTCACGAAAGCGTCAAATCAAGATTAATTTAAATATATTAACTGCAGCTTAAACAAATTATAACTGAACAATAATAATGTTTCTGGTGCATCGTGGCCTTCGAAGCGATGTGAGCGTTGGGTGTCCATAGGCTCGGAAAGGTTTGGAAACACTGGGCTATAGTATTGTTATTGCCAGCTTATTAATATATAACACTGTGGTTATAGAGGGGCATTAATAATGCAGATGTATTATTAGTGGAATAAATTAGTATGAATCCTAAATCGTTTAAATTGCAGACACTATATTTCCAAATCTAATATACATATATTTTATATCTGCATAACAAAAATCATTCACTCGTGTATGTTATATCCAGAGAGGACATTTAAAATCAGCAGAGCTTTCAAAATTACCGTTTCTAATTACACAATTTTATTCATACTGCTTAGGCTAACGAAGTAAAAATAATAAAATCCAAAATGAGGTATCCTAGAAAATGAATTGCTGTTTTTATTCGCAACATCCAGAGTAATAACCAATAGTATTGACCAATGGGCGATGGAACTCATATTGCAGCGGTAAATAACTTGTTAGTATAGAGTGATCCACTTCTGTGTTATTATATTCTAGCCAAGAGCAATCTCACGACGGCTGCATTGTGAGTCTGTGGACGATGGAGGGCGGTGCGAATCGTGATTTATTGCGTGTAAGATGCCACGCTCCTTGCTCAATCATCTCATTAGCTAGCCTTTGCGATGTCGTTACCTCTAC